ACACACACACACACATAAACAAATCAGATGAATGGCCAAACCCTTTTTTCTGAACACAAAGGTCATCCTGACATGTTTAATCTGAACTGTAGACACACAAAAAAATCCTGCTAAAGCTTGTTCTACAATACAATGGATGACTAATACATACGAGGCAGAAGACGGAAACAGTGTTACTCACCGGGAGGTGTTCTAGTAGTGAGGTGACACTCTCAGAGACGTAGAGGATGTTCCCATCAGTCATTATTGCTATAAAGAACCCATCCAGAGCCTGATAATGCAAGACAAGAAGCAGAGAACATCCCTAAATGTCGGTCTAAAGCACTGGAAGGAAAAGGCTGTCATCAATTTGTCTTTTGTTAAGAAATCAAAACAATGAGTCAAATCTGTTAAAATGATACAGCCACTGTTTTATTTTCAGAAATACATTTCTAATTAGATTTGTTGAGGTGAATTAGAATTAATCTTGACTTTGGTCATGAAAAACCTACCACAAAGTAAAATAACAGTGGATATAACACCTCTGTTGTCACCTAACAGACAGGACTACAAAATGTGAGATTTCTGACCTCCAGCATGAGCTGGGTGAACTCCTCATTGCTAAGAAATGGAGGTTTCCAGTCCTGCCTGATCTCGCTCGACTCCGACTGGGCTGCGATCTCTGATGGTTGAAACACAAAGCAAATTGAATTTTTAAGACGAAAATCAAGTATTTTTCAGGGAAATGTCAAGTAAGGAAAGCGCAATGAGGTGACAGGACATAAAAAGAGACAACGCAGACAACAACATGTGTAATGTATTGATAGTACAAGGCTCAGACGGAAAACAAGGCAGTTAAACAGAACACCAGATAACACAGTGCACCAGTGAAGTGGCAGCGGATAGTTAACTATCAAGCACGGCACTGATAAGAGATTAAAAAGAATAGTAACCCGTGTGTAGTAATGAAATTCCAGTATTCAAATGGTAGTCTCAGTTAAACTGAGATTAGGAGGGGAAAGACAGTAAAGTAGGTGTAAAGTAGCTTAATCACAGAATTTAAGGGTGTAATAATCATTAATGATAATACATTACACACAGTTATCTTCGCAGGTACAGTCCCCATTGTTTCATTAAAAGCATAATAAAAGTGACTTTTAATGAGAGTAAACAAGCACGGACAACAGTGTACGCAAAAGTGAACGAAGCATCTAAATGTAGTAGTTCATCCTGAGAGGTATTCAACACAGAAGTGAGGTGAAGATGGTAGAAAGCTCTGACCTTTGTGTTTACACAGGAAGTCAATGCTTTTCTGCAGGATGGTGGACTTGTCCATCTTCCTTGTGTTGCCCGGCAACATCGTGCCGAGTTCCTTGATGAGGACATTGAACTGGTCTCTCCGTTTCTTCTCAGATTTGTTACGGGACACACTGCAATCAAAACCACAGTTAGAAATTAGGCTAGATGTTGTGGCAAAAAGGGTTTTTGACATACAGAATAAAACAACCCTAAAAAAAGAAGAAGGTGTAAACTTTTCAGGCATTTGACCCTGGAAATGTTAACGTTAAGACAGTATGGCTGCTGTGTACGGCTTACAATAAAGTCTGTTTCAAAATAGTATATATTCTCTGCAGGAGATAAAAACATACTGAACAAATGTTGGTTAATTTAAGCACAAAACACAATCTTTAAATAGCATTTGATGTTTTATGAAAAGGATTGGTGTATTCATTTTAAGCAAATACTACAAGTAACATCATTCTAATGTGTTCTTTTGTATCTAGCTTACCGTTTTGCTTTGTCCTTTTCATCTTCTTCCATCAACCCATCAAAGATGCTACAATCATCCCTGCAGGTGGAAAGAAAAATATTGACAGACTTTTCAGAGTGTCTCCCAACTCACTTTGTGTTTCCGTGTGTGTGCACGTTTGTTGGCAGCTTGAAAGCAGATATGTATTGTTAATAATAGCGAATGACGAATGTTGACTAATGAGAGGATTCCTACATGCCAGGAACAGGTTTATTTTTGGGTCACACAAAAGGAGAGAGTAAGACAGACAGACAGACAGACAGACAGAGAGAAGGAATGCGTTATGCTTGCCAAGAAGGTTACGAGTGCATTTGTGTAACCGGGGGTGATCTTGCCTACGTTTCAGTTAATATGGGTCAATACAAATACCTTCATTTGTACCGATGGAAGACATCTGGAGCTGTTTAATATCTTTAAAATGGACTATTTAGATTTTTTTCTCAAAAATGTTTTATTGTGGCAGACCATTTGATTAATAATAATTATTATTATTATGATTATTAATAATCATAAT